GACGAAACTTCTTCACAGTAATGGAGGTGGCAGTTTCTCGCGGTTGATTCATTTGGAACAGTGAAGAATGCAATAATAACGTCCTTTAACACATGCACAGAATCTAGCCTACGTACTAAATAATTCAAAGCAATAACACTTTACTCGGTAATTTACCTGCATTTTAGAAAAAGTCACCAAGCCACGCAATTTCACATATTTTTTGCCTTTTCATTTATGAGACAGCCATATTTTTGACGTGATTTCAAGGCCATAAAAACATCGCTTAAGCTTTTCTCGCGAGTCTGTTGTCTTCGCCAAAATGAAGTCATCCTCAATAATGAAGCTTTATAACCTCTTTCCATGAGACCCTCAGTCAATTACAAAACCTGCTGCAAGAGCTTGAGAGAGGAAGTGCAGAAGAGGGACTGCGATCAGATAATATTAAACGGCGAAAACACCGAAGTCGATAAATATATTTACCGGAGCAAAAATTCAACATGTGCAATCAGTGATCAAGCAGGAGATATTTTGTGGAAAAAATGGTACGTTCTGCACGCGTTCCATTTTACCGAAGGTTTTTCTCTGGACGAAATCAGGAAAGGTGCTCCTCCCGCCAAAGTGTTCAATTCAGTCCTGGCAGTGGTTGTTGTATAGTTGTTCCTGAGAGGTGGTCATTCACGGAAGCCATCCTTCACTGATCATTCCAAACACGATGATCAGTCAACGAAAGACTTATCATCGATTCACGATCAGTGAAGGACATCGTCGTCGAAAGCAGGGAGGAAAAGCTGAGGTGGGCCGGGCACGAAGCTCTGTTCACCGATGGGATATGATCGGCGACTGTCGTCGACCGGTACCCTGATGGGCTGTGTTGATCATCAGGCCGTCCACCATGACCGTGAGAGAATTAAATGAAAGGCTTGCAAGATGGCGCCTGGAGGCAAAAATTCAAAACTGTGAGGAACGACAGGTCTGTTGCCTCCGGCGCAATTCGTCGCGCATTACCGGCCACTCAGGCGATCCAGGTGAAAACTTACCAAGGCAAGGCTGGTTGGTAGCAGTCTCCGATTCGGTCGATGGCAAAATATCAACGTGAAATTCAGGAAATTATGAGGAAGGTAGGAGGGAAATCTGCTGCATCGTTCTAAACGTTACAGTTACGAATCTTTTAAAGGGATCTCATGATTAAAAGGCGGGTTTCACACAATCTGACTTCAGTACCACCCAAAAATACACAAAAGCCGAAAGGGCAACTTTTTACTCCGTCATGTATGTGGACACTTTGACTGCTGAGGAAAGTAATAATATCAAAAAATACTTCGAGATCAGGTGACCGAAATGACAGCTGAAACTTTCCTCGAAAGACAACGTCGAGTATTGGAAATGCCGAGCATCATTCATACCACGAACCACGCAGAATCAGATGCTGTAATGTCGAACGATCCGTCGTGGCGTCTACCCTCTGAGCGACGATCACACTGAATGGAAATTTCTTCTGCATTTGGCTGATCGGTACCACTTTCTGTTTTGCATGTTCCTACTTTTTCTTCTAATCGCCTCCTTGGCGAATCGAAAAACCTGGTTGTCGATCTTCAGGCATCATTAACATAACTGTTGCAGCCCTCTGTACGGAACTCGACGAGGATCACAAACATACGCGGTCGTGCCTCAGGCACTCGTGCCCTTATCTCGACTGTATGGGCTCCTGCAGTTTGGGAGACTGTTTCACAAACAACGTAGTTAGATAAGTAACATGGCTGATTCTTAGGCTCTGAACGGGCCTGAAACTAGCACATTTGCGAACATTTTCTACGTGGCATCTACCAGGTCTGTAGTCACAGTTTAAAACCTCATTTCATCTCTCTGGACTCACACGCTTTGCTGTCCGCTTCTAGCACACAAGTGAACTTCACTAAAGCATGCCACAGATCCATAGTGATTTAGCATCTGCAGCGCACAGGCGCGAAACCGTGCCATTTTTTGGGTTAAACAAAAAACTGTTCGAACACTAACGGATATGCCTCGACCCGCAGACACATACAATAAAAAAATAATACCGGGGTCAAGTTTTAAGGCAAATTTTAAAAAAGCAGTTTTTCATTGAATCGTAAGCTTATTGCTTCGACGGTCCGTTCCGACAGCATCAAAGTTTCACACAAAAGGAACTTACCAGGTACTGCAAGTCTGTCACATTGACTGACGACCGATGGTCGTTCGAACCGGAAGTCTGGTCAACTTGGTCTTGGAGTGACTGCCAAATTACAATCAAAGAAAAATCACCTACTAGCTGACGAAAAGTGCCGGCTATTCTACAGAGTAATTAATCAGTTGTAAGAAAAATGAAAATATCTATTACACGCTTTAGAACTTCAACGCGAGTTTTGCTTTTTATCGATCGCCCAGTGGCAGAACGTGACTGATGACTTGGTCAAAGGTTGAAACTGAGCAACCGTAACGAAAAGTGAGAAAAATGAATGACTTTTTGCCATGTGGCTACGTGCAATTCATACGCTTAGACAAGCACGTATTTAAGACGATCAGTTTGTTCATCCTTCATTTACGTATGCTTATTGCAGGCTGTTCATTTCAGAGCTAGGAGCTAACAAGTCCAGGAAGGGCTGCCCAGTGGATCCAGAACTGCGAGATCGACCAGTGTGCTTCTCCACGTGTTCAAAGGCAACCTTTTCTGTCGCCTTGCAACGAGAAGACACCTGAAGAGTTCATTCTGTGACATCCTCATAGCATGACCGTACCAATCGATTGCCCCCTATATATCTGCAAAAGGAGCGGTCTACTAGCGAAGATATCTTGAGCTGTTCTGTTCAGAACCTTGTTAGAATTTTGTCATGGAAGCACTCCTTAGAAGGGACCTCTTTTCTGGCGTTTGTATCCGTGATCGCACTAATCCTGAGTATAGCACACTCGTGACCTTGCTTCGTCTGGTTGAAATCAGTTCACACTTGAAGTGATGGTCGCAATCGCTTAACACGAGACGAAATGACCATTTACATAGATTTTTAAAGAAACGGCTTTGATGCGCAGGCAGATAAGATTCTCATTGAAGTACGACGATGCAGCTATTTTTTAAATGTCTGACTTCATGACAAAATTCCAAAGAAAACAGCGAACTGCTACCAAGAATTTGCATACGTTTATTAATTACGCACACATGCTTCGACAAACTACTTCTTCTCCCTTGGTAAAGTGGACATCCGCAAATATCGCCAGAGCTGAACAGCTGTCTTCTATGAATGTACTAAAGGTCGTGATAAATCAAACCATAAGAACCATTGAGAAACTTTGCAAATCTGTTTTTACAGCTTCCTTCCGTCACCCTACAGGGGGAACTTTCGTAGTGCACTTTAATGTGCCATTATCAACGTCCCAATATGTTTGCAATGACTGATCATAGAGAAAACATGATCTGGCAGAAGGCTCAGACTCTGAGGAAAGAGGAACTAGAATTTGTTCAAACCAATCCGATCGTTTTAACCCATACACATAGAAATTCGTCTGCATTAACTTTCTGTCTATCAGCCTGTTTCCTCTTCCTCGTTCTTTATTCATCGTCTCATTGTGTATTTTGTTTTTTTTTCTTAGGCATTATTTTTTTATATCGCTACATCAGTGGGTCAATGACTGCTGCAATTTTGGTCGATGCTAGTTTTACCTATTTTTGATTGATGCGAGATAAAGGGCTGACCACCCGATGGCTACAAACAGTCTTTCCATTTCTTCGTTGCATTCAGACCATCGCATGTACAGTGGGTTACCTAAGCGACAGAGGTGCAGAGTGAAAACATACTTCTTGCAGTACTGACGGCCCTTCGATTTACAGAGGACTAGGGCTAATGACAACCTAACCACAGATGCTCCATTCGAGTGCTAGCGCCGGTGATTCGTCCGCGGCGCATGGTCAGGAAGGAATTATCCGCTTCTAACGTCTCACTGGCCAACTGACATACAATCGTTGAGCAATCATCCAATCCCAGAGACTCGTTTTTCCCTTAATAACCACCTGTGTGCTGCATAAATGTTGACCACTGAATGTCTGCTTCCGAAATAAAACTTTTCACAATGGGTCACACAGTAAATCGGTTGTTCACAGCCATTTCGAACTGTGTATAGGTCCACGGGAACAACTAGGCGGACCTTGATGGTCTTGGTGTTTCTTTGCGCCCTTCGGCGATACCCGTACCTCCTTGAGATTGAGTTGGGTAGCGCGTCAGCACCAGCACCGTAACGATCCCTGTATGTCGCGTGACATGTCTTTCGGATCTGCTTGTCACAACTACGGCTAAAGGCCTATGCATACTTCTGCACAACTAACTGAAAAAGAGGTAACAGGTTACCTCATGACCTAA